GAACTGCAGGCCATCTCGCGGCTGTACAGTCGAAGGATGTGGCAGAGAACACGAAACTTTACTACATCAAGATGATGACGAACTAAATAGTCCATCGGCTGTTTCCATTTATTATTCAATTGGGCCTGAAGAGGCTCCAGAGGTAGCCCCCGCAGTTGTTCCCGTGACCATCCGGTACAAGCAACATACGACATGGACGTTGGCTCGTTTGGACAATGGCTCCAGTTAAGGTTTAATTTAGGGCTCGGGTTAAGGTTATGGCCAGGACTAGAGGTAAAGTAGGGTAAGTGTTAAGTTTAAGACGAAGGGGAAGATCGAAATTTGAGATAAAGGTTAAGGTTTGAATTAGGGTTAGTGCAGGGGTTAGAGATAAACAGTTTAATGCGTACCCTTTCTGGAATTTAGTGCGAGGCCACATATGGTACTGAAGTGATTTTCTATTTCCGATTGATCAAAGTTATCCTCTTTTAGTATTAAAAGGAAGGACAAAGGTGGGTTGTAGATGTAAGCCCCGCTCTCGCTATCTATCCGTGAGTCAAGTCAGAGAAAAAATCTGAAGTTTTTGCGTATTTGCTGAAAAAGCATTTGTCGTAGTGATTGTTGTCCGCTCCCGTCAGTTGATAGCATCTTACGAGGCCAACACGGAAAACTGACGATGTCGTGGTACGTACTCTCGGATATTAAGCTTATGTTTAACGCTGACTGCTTGTCATACGAAAGGTAGTTTGTTTTGTGTCCTATCAAAACATGATTAGGGCACAGGATTTTTGGGACATAAATATCCAAGGAATTAATAACAACTTCAGGCGTTTGAAAGCTGAACATCGTGAACAAAATGGGATGTAGTAAACAGGCTTCACACCTAAAGGACAACCTGGAATTTTAAGTTTAGCAAAAGTTTTTTTTACCTACGCGACTGAAAACTTAATTTTGACTAAGGTATCCCTCATTCCATTGTTAGACGTGAGTGCACCATCCTTTAAGACTAAAGAGCTACGTCTCTCGTGCAAGTCCTGTTTTGTTCCAAAAATTTGAAAAAGGAAACTTTTAACACATTCGGGTTTTGATTTTTGGACGTTACTCGTTGAACCATTAAATGCGAAATAAGATTCTACGTTTCAGATCGGAAATAGAAATCAATAGTACATATTCCTTTCTCGTTTAATCTATCCGCAAGTAAAATAACACAATAAACTCGGTTATTTGACGAACTCAAATAAACAAACCGATAATGACCGCGCAACTTAGGTAACGGTATAATCAATGGAATAACTTTATGAAAATTCTTCGTGTATTTAGCTGTACAACTCTGACTTCAGGACCCTGTAAGTAGTAATCATAGAATTCAGAAAAGGAAGGTGAAAATGATGCGATCATTGGGACAAGAACTTTATTCACCTGACGCTTCGAAGTCCGTTTAGGATTCTTCCTCAGAGACATTAGCATAAACAGTAACGTACCTATTTTTTATGACCTCTGTGAACTAGATGTTCGCTCATGTTACCAGAATTAAAAAAGAAACTCCCAAAGGTGGAATAAGATTAGGAAAGGAGTTAATTATTGCGGACAGTTTTTGACTTTTGGTTTTTGTTGGGCGTTCCGCTATTAAAAAGAATTAGTAAGCGGTAAAATAAGGACTTTAACTATGCTGTTTGATTCCACCGCTCCCAATTTCCTCAGATAATTTGATACATTGCCGCATTATAAACAATTGCTGTACTAGTGCGGGCAAGTAAACTATACGCGCGCAATAAACGGTAAAAAGATTGCCTTCCACAGACTACCTGCTCAGCCTAAAAAACAAAACTGATAGGCTCGTATCTTTTAGAATTAATATGGCTGTATTTATTAAAATGAGGTTAGTCTAGCTTAGTCGATCATTAAAAATGTTGGTTCTTGCCGCCTCTTTCGTTTAGATAAAGTAATCGGTCAATTTAAAAAAAGCCTTGTCTCACAGACTTTATATAAACTATTCACATTAATTTTTAGCCAAAATGTAAGCTCAAAATCGAAGCCTGTCACATGGGGAAGAGCTCTATCTACTGCTGTGACCTTTCTTATGGCGGCTTTCAAAGTCCTCTGGACTACATTCAGTAAACAGAAAAACAGACCGGAGCTGACGTTGAGCATGAAGACCTCACTCGGGCATGTATGTGAGCGCGCCGAAATCCGCATCGGACGAGGGCCCGGCCGTCAATGCATGCACAGAAATCATTTATCATGAAAAGGAGAACAGACAGAGCAGCCTGACAAAGACATGAGCAGATATTTCCTACCATCGTCGCCTGCCGCGGCGACTCCAGGGATGACCCCTGTTAACAAATCCACATTAGTTGGACTTCCTTGTCTGCAAGTACGTTGAAAAGTTGTATGATATCTGCCCGAAATGACGAGGGTTTGGCTGTTTTTAAAACGTCAAGAATTTACTGTAATATTCCTGAGATCGTAGCGAAACGCTTACATTCTACTCTCGAGAATGTCATTAGCATAGAGCCCAGATATGTGTTTCGCAGGAGACAACAATTAGGGCGTCCATTCGTTAGTGCGTCAGCCGGCCTTTTCTATGTGGTCGCCAGCGTATTAGCTCCAGAAATGCACGAGTACGATTAACCTTTACCGCAATTTTATTTCCGAATGTTCACGTTGTAGACGACCGGCATGAGAAAGAGCTGACTTTATGCACTGCTTAGTCCGTCTTAATGGATGCCAGAGGATAACTTCGTAAAAACGTTTTTGTACTTCCAGAAAAGGCAAAAGTTTCCAATTCAATGGATAAATTACTCCCCTTTATTTTATATACAAAAGACTGTGGAAAGTGTAGCTGAGCGTCCTCTGTGCGTGAATCAAAGACTCCATGTCTGAAAAATAGTGGACTTATCTCACTTACTGTATGCCATACACAAATCGCCCCTAAATATGCATTGGCTGTTCAGGTGGACTTCCGAATACCGATGTTAACCAGTAAAAACCTACCATCCGATAATATAATTCCTCCTATTTCCTCTTTGCGTATGTACCTGACAACCTGCACAGCCTCATCGGGGAATGATGGTCACAACAAACACAATACATCATCGAACATATCTCGAACTGAAGTACTCCAACCTGGACAGTATAAATCGGTATTTGCTTTAGGCACTCATCTCAAAGGTCTATGTGCAATAAGCTTTACTCCATGTCCCTTCTAAATCCACAGTCTCCAATCAATTTTCGAGCACCTGGAGGTGCATGCCACGCAATATGTCTTTCACATTTCCGTAAGCCACCAAATTAATTTCCTTATCTTGATAT